ATTATATTGAATAACTGGGGTTGAACACTGAGAAACTTGAAAAGAACATGCATGACAGAAACACTAATATATGTAACTTTCCCAATGATGGCAGAAGCTCACCTCTATTAGCTTTAGCCACCATGATCAGTGATCAGGACTGCAGTTAAATGACATCTGAAAAGTCATTGTTCCCCATACTTTCTCTAGAAGTAGGTACTTTCTCTAGAAGTAGGTAACATGGTTCCTACTTTGTTCTTCAACTCTCCCAAATCCCAAGCACCATGATTTAACAATAAAGGGTTTATTCAAATAAAGCAAACAACAAATATTTGAAAAAAACATGTAAATACAATAATTCCATAGTAGAAAAAGCTGTTATTGAAAAGTGAATGCTCACCTTCCATGGGCATCTTCTTTTTTGGAACCTATCAAGAGTGCCTTTTGTCCTAAATGGTCCTCCATGGCAGAAGAAGGACTTTCCCTATCACCTGCAAGCAAGGGGAGCGCAGCACTAGAACTACTATTCTCCTCTGAAGATGATGAAGAACTATGAGATCGCAGAGGTACTTGTAAATTTAACTGCTGGGATTTTCTTTCAGATTCTGTACCTACAGTTCGGCATTCCCATTCTTTTGTCTTTACACCATTTGCCTTACCTAAAAACAACGATATATTTTGTGCTAAATTTATGAACATTAAAGATACCAATATTTTTTCTTGTTTTTTTAAATAAATGAATAAATACATAGCATATTCTTTTAAGAAGTACTAGAAAGTGCAACAACCATTAGCAAATCAGTTTGGTTTTTAACATGGAATATTTTTAATCATGGATTTGCCTATAACACTAATTGAAGATTACCACGTTTTAAACAGTATGTGTTGGTATGAGCAAAAGTCTGTATTCAGTATCACTTTTTGTGTAGCACTTCTATTAAAGGCATGATTTCTTTAACTTGAATAAGTATATTCAAAATATGCTAATGTTTAATTAATGATAAACATTTACATTTTTACAGATAGACAAACAGACAGATAGATACAAATCTTTTACCATCTGGAATTTTCGGAAGTTCTTTAGTAATAATCCATTCTCCAGGTTGCAGTAAAGATTGCCCATAAAACATATCTGATTCTGCGCTTGCATTTGAAAAAGCAGAGCTACTTGATGGTGTCAATTCTTCAAACTTGAAGAAATCTAATCCTGACCCAGGGCCACCAAAAAAACGACAGCCACCAAGACAACCACATTTGTTCTTGCTTCTTTTATTCTTTGTATTATCATCTGGCCATAAAAACCACAGTCTAGAAAAAGAAGGTGTTCATTGAAATAAATAAAGGGAAAGTATTGTTAAGAGATTTCTATGTTAACCATTATTAATGACTACATTATCTATAACGCGAATCCACTCAGATTCCTCACCAATGCATAAACCTGTATGAAGCAGTACTGGAGTTATTACTTAACACTTAACAATCATAATTGGACCTGGAATTTTAATCATTAAGTCATTGCAGTTGTTAAGTGGGTCACCATTTGACACGACTCGATCTTAAAGTGAGTCATTGTGATTGTTAAGTGAATTATGTGGTCGTTAAGCAAATCCAGCCTATCCAATGAGTATTTTTTGCCGTTTCCTGCTGGAAAATGGCAAAAAAAATGTCTCGTCACAGTCACATGACCATGGAATGTTGCTTGTAACTAGTTGTAAATGCAAGTTGGTTGCAAAATGCCCAAACTATGACCATGTGACCATGTGTGTGTCTATGACAGTTGTAGCTTCCAGTTTCTAAGTACCTTTTTTTAGTGTTTTATAAATTCAAATGGTCATCGATTGGTCATTAAATGAAAATTCTCTGTACCTCATTTAAAAAATTAATTTCGAAAAATGTCAGGTCTTTATCATCATATTATATAATGAAACTGTTAAAAACATTGCTAATAATAAATTATTATTTTTTAAAAATTCATACACATAGATACATACAGATACACACATCCATAATAATAACAACAAATATTCTGGAATCAATTTTCTGCATCAAAAATTTATAAAACTTTTACATTTTTGAAGAATCTATCACGAATGTTCATGTTTTCCATTTTTTAACTAACAGATCTTTTCACTAACCTATTTTTCCTTGCTTACCTCTTTGTTCTGCTATCATGAGTTTCCAAAAAACGTCTCTGTGCTTCATGCTTTGAATACCGGTCTGCTGCTAAAGCAACATCAGCAGTGATAAGGCCAAAATTGATTGATCCTGCTTCTAGCCAATATGCCCTCCGTAGTACCGCAGGTTGAAGACTAGTTCGGCAATTATTTGCTTGTTCAATATACTGTCGTATTTGGAAATCTTGAATGGCAGCACTTATACCTTCACCAACTGACTGATTGTGGAGATTGCAACTGGCAATGCGCACAGCACCCATCTAAACATCAAATTCAAGTAAAAAAATCAGGAGAAATCCTAGAAGAACACCAACTCAAATTACTATAGGATATTTACTTCCTTGTAATAAAAATGTGATGATTCCAAATTTCTTATTTACAAGTACAAGTTGTAATAAAATTGTTATTACGATGGTAATTCAAATTGTAAATAGGCTCGACATCTATGAAATCATTCTTAGCTAAGAAATCAAACTATATGCAGATCAATGTTTCTGCAATAAGCATGTGTGTAAGTGTAATCCACAACTTTGTTTTTCAATTTAGACATGTTAATAATGATTATTAAAAAATCTAATTTTTAGCCTATGCCAAAGATTCCCAAAAATTAGTTCTATAATAATGTCGACACACAAGAGTAACATTCAATATAAAGAACAGATATGCTATAGTAATCCCATTAAAACCATGCTGAAAACAAATGGTTTTTATTTTAAAACACTGGCTTTAAAAAAAAATGTACAGGTACTCCTTGGCTTATGATGGCAATTGGGACTGGAATTGTCACAGCAAAGTGACACGGTCATGAAGCACAGTCATGTGACTGCATCAATTTGGAATAGCAATTCCAGCAGTCTGGGTTAATGCTGTAAAGCAAGGACCATATGAATCATTAAGCAAAGACTTCATGTGACTAGAACTCATTAACTTTGCTTCTAAAAACTGGCAAAGAATATCAGAGATTGTGATTGTGTGATTGCAGAGACGCTGCAAGGGGCAGAATTACAAGGATCTGTCATAAGCACCACTCGTTCAGCCCACCGTAACTTTGAATGATTGTAATCTGAATGAATGATTGTAATCTGAGGATTACCCATATACAAAAATGAAGATGTGAAGTAAGACATATACTACTACCTTTATACTTGTAGCACAACCATGCTCAACAGCGTATACATCTGCACCATCTACTGCCAAACGGATCATAGCATATTTTAATTCATCAGATGTTAGACAAGGGCCAGAAATGCAACTCATCTAAAGATTTGGAGGGAAGATAGTAGTAAATGTTATCATTGGCATGTATTCATCTTACTTCAAATAAAGATGAAGTGATACATTAAGGCAATTGAAGCTGAGAGCAGTATTGTTCTTCTACAGTCATAATTATGGAATATGAGTATTTCCATATTGTTTAAAGTAAAGTAAATACTTTATTGGCCTGATCAAATAAATATTAAGCCTCTAGAAGACACCAACTTGAAATGTTCTTCAGCGTCACTGCATGAAAGTCCTGCAAATATGCACCAGTCTGACAATACAACTTTTTTAAAAAATCAGAAACATAAAAATACTATTTCTTTAAATCAAATGCTACAAATAGGGTATTCTTGTTTTTAAATGTAAACACTACATCTCCTTTCCCACTATTACAGCCATCTAACAAATCTTTAGAAACCATCCTTATATTTAAAAACAGGTCACAGGTCTCTCAGATCCATTTGTTAAATGATTATTTTCTTTTTCCTCCAACCTCAGTTAATCTTCCAAAACAATTAGCAATGCAAACAGGAATTAGGAACACTGGGAATGATCCCAAAAGATAAATTTGTTACAGAAAAATGAACTTTAAAAGAATGTATATCCATAAAGGCTTGACAAATGATACAAGAGAAATCTATGTTTTTAAAAAAGAGTAAAGGAAAGTAAATGCTGCAGCAATTAAATATTAAATATTTCCTTAAAAAAGGAGAGATATCTTGGCCAAGAAGACAGCAAATATGTTACTGTTTATTGTCAGCATTTTAAGCTTTAAAAATCGATAGTGATAATAATTTTTAAGAATTTATAATTTTAATTGTACATAATTAATATTTAAAGTATAATTAACATTTCAATTGCGACATACTATGAAACCAGAAGACAGAGTAAATAAAATAAAATATAAAATAGATGGTTCCAGAACAGGTCATTTAGACCAGGGGTCCCAAACCCCAAGCCAACAGGCAACTACTGGGCCATGAGCCATTCGGAACCGGGCCGCAGAAGCAGTGGGCAAGCACGTGTGCTCCATTTGTGCAAGAGACAGGTGCATATGCCTCTGTGATGGTATGTGAAATAAGTCTTAAGCACTAAAAGTCCTATTAAGCACTCAAATAAACATAGATTTAAAAAGTTTAAGTTTATAATGGATCAGACAACAAGCCTATCTATACATTAAGATTGTTTTTTATGCCTAATTTAGAAGTCTACAGTTTGGGGCAAACCCTTAAATAGGGAGAAGAAAAGCCAATATAAAATGCTGGAAATATTGTAGCAACTATGGAATTTATTGTTTCTGTGAAGTGGTCCTTTAGTAACTTTTTTCATATTATCATTTCTCCAATCTTAGTTAATCTATCAAAACTATCAGCATTGCAACAACAGAGAATTATTTACATATTTATTTATTCAACATATTTCATTGTTGCCACAAGCAAAATGATTCTCAATGGCTCACATAATAACAAGATATAAAAATAGAAATGGAAAAGCACAACGGCACTACAACACAACTACAGTACAATGTTTCTAAACTGTCAGATAAAAACTTGTCTACACTGATAACAGAAGTCAAGGTAAAAATATTTGGCCCCTTATTATAAATTTAAAAACTAAGAATTTTTTATAATTATAACATGTGCTTCTGCAACAAATGGAACTGAAAAAGCAGAATGCCTTGCTAATTGTATAAGACATATCCTCATTAAACCAATGTTCAGAAAGCCAAATTATATAGTTTACAAGAAGATGTTACCTTAGCTTCACAAAAACGACGATCAATTCCATGTTGACATACAATGACAGATTTTGGTCTTTCCAGTTGAAATTCACGACATGCCACATGAAACACAAATGTTTGTCCCCATTCAAACAGGCATACAAGCTGTAAATAAATAAGGACTATTGACTACACAGAAATCAAATATACTCAGAGGAGTATGGATATTTGAAAAGAATACAGTGCTTGGTTTTTGCAATAAATTCCACTAAACTAAATCCTATATTTTACAACAAATACAGTGAGCCATACATTTCAATAGCAAAATGGAGTAGTTGGAAATTAGAAACAGAGCAACTTCACTGATTTGCAAAAATATAAAAGAAACTTGATGAATAAGACATATTACATGAAGCTAGCATTTCACAAGATTATTTATTGTTAAGTGCAATCAATACTTTAATTCTATCATTTTGTTTTTAGAACTTTGAAAATAGAATGGATGCATTTTCAATCTTTACATTACGCATAAGAAAAAGAATAAAAATATGGACGTGGAAAATTAATATTTCTAAAGTGGAGAACACATGTTCAGTAGTATTCATGGAATATTTAACTGTGGCTATATACACAATTGTATATATGTGTGTATGTATGTATATACATATAAATTTGTATAATACATTATTTTGAATTTTTTAATGGACTGCACTTTTGTACATAGTCGTACATACACAGACACACCCACAACGGTGTGTGTACAGAGAAGTTTAGGTACCATAGGTCAAACTATATGCTACATGAATCTAAGTAAAAAGAAACTGACACAACCTCTGCATGATACGTTAAAATGTTTTTTGCTCCAAATAAATTCCTGATCCATGCCTGGTGATCCAAGTAATGGTGTGGCTGCCCTTTCATGGTGCCTGGAGGCTGTAGGGGCCTGGATGGGAGGCAACAGGTTTCAACTGAACCTGGTAAGATAGAGTGACTGTGGATACACAGAGCCTCAGCATCTGGAGATTTATCATGTTTAATTCTGGATGGGATGGCAATACTCCAGACCGACCCAGTGCTCAACACTGACGGTTTTCCTAGACTCTCAATTCCTGCTCAAAGAGCAGATGGCAGTCATAGCTAAGAGAGCTTTTGCATAATTTCTGATTGTGTGCCAACTTTTCTGGATCATGATGCCCTATGTTCAATCAATCGTGCCCTGCTCATCTTCCTTTCGATCATTGCAATGCAATCTACATGGGGCTACCCTTGAAAAGTACTCAGAACTCACAATTGGTCCAGAATGCAACAGCTTTGGAAGTCCCTATGGTGGCACATGTAATAATACTTTTATGCCAGCTTCACTGGTTGCTGAACTGCTTTCGGGCTCAATTCAAGGTGTTGATCATTACCTTTAAAGCCCTTTATAGCAGGGGTATCAAACTGCCGGCCCACGGGCCAGTTGCATCACATGGAGGCCACACCCACCCCAGCTCCAGCAATGCGAAAAAGTCACAATACGTCATGACACATCATGTGACATGGCGAGTTTGACACCCGTGCTCTATAACATAGGTCCAGGATATCTGAGGAGCAGTCTTTTCTCAATGGAAATGGTCCGCCCCACATGTGCTGGTAGAAGTGACCTATTGCAGACCTGAGGAATTGTGGCTAGTGGAGTCCAGAAGAGCCTTTTCTGCCACCCATTAGAACATTTTGCTGCAGGAGGTGAGATCTGCCCCCTCTTTCCTGGCCTTCAGGAATTGCCTTAAAGCTTGTCTGTATCAGTTTGGCATACCCTGAAGCTGTTGGCTGGAGGTGGCTAATGCAATAACAGAGAAGCCATTATCACCTCTCTGCTCCAAACACATGGTTTTTTAGTTTGTTTTAATTTTTTGTAATTTTAATCTTTTATATTTATAATTGTTTTTATTATGTTGTAAATATCACTCAGACTCACTGCAAACCACGAGATGAGTGCCATATAAATTTAATAAATAATAAATGGCAGTGTAAATTGAAAAGGTAAATGAAAGAAAAATAGATATGAAATTAAAGAAAGGGAAAAGATTAATATGATTTAATCCTATAGAGCTGATGGAAGAAAAACAATTGGGTAATTAAAAATAAAAAGGCTAAACATGTATGCCAGAAAGTATGAATTGGTATCATCTAGACTGCTGAAAGTCCTGTAAAACTTTTTAACCTTCTCACGTGGATGTGAGAAACTATGTGAATCAACTTGAAACCAAATAAAAAACATTACAGAATGGAATGTTAATGAGAATTATTAAAAAAGGTGCTTGATGGAAGGATGAAGTGAAAGAAACTATGGATGAAAATAAAAAACACATAGAACCGAATAAATGCTGCCAAAAATGTGGATGGGAAAACAAAATTTTATCTAAATTTTCTTTATACCTTATATACAAAGAGAACATAGTAAAAAAGAAAAGCATAGTTCATTAAAGGAAACAGATAATGCAGGAATTTGATGGAAATAAAAACAGAACAGAACAGAATATAGAATAGAACAGAATATTCTTTATTGGTCAAATATGATTGGACACACAAAGAATTTGTCTCTGGTGCCTAAGCTCTCAGTATACATACAAGCAACAAAGGGATAAATCATAAATATTGTTATGGAAATGAGTTAAAAGGCAAAGCAAAATAAGTACAGAATACTAAATGGAATTAAAGCTAAAAAGTAGCTAAAAAAATCTTGATTTATTCACACCCACTCTTTTTCCCCTGAATCCAAACACTACGTGGGGCCTTGCAATAATAATTAACTAAAATGTTAGAATTTACTGAATATGCTTTTATACCCTTAAAAAATATCCAGAATGTGCAAATTTCTCATGGAATAAGAGTTGAAACTGGAGATGAATAATCAAGGTTACTAATGCTTTATACATGTATATTATATTTTACTAATTAAGTCAGATTTAAATAGATTCACTTTCAGTAAATTGTTGTGTCTTTTTTCCAATTTGGACCAAACAAGTCCTATGTAAACCTCAATGTTATTTGAAAGAGGTAATTCTGATTAATTCTGATTTCTGAAAATATAGATAAGTATTGAGATTTTAATAGATATTGACAAATGCATGATTCTTTTAATCTAAAATTCTTATCTAGATTATTGAACTCCTTCTATTTACACAAATATATGGCATTTGTAAAGAAAACCAAAAAGAATTTATTCTAATTAATGGTTTTTCTATTCCTGTGCTTTAATACATAAAACATATATGCTAAAATAACAACGTACACATTTAATCTGAAATTTAGTTACAAACCTGTGGAACTGTAACCTTGGCTGTCAAGCTCCCCGTCTGAATATCAATTAACCAGGCATATTCCAAAGTGTCACTATCCACAGGCAAACCCTCTGCTGAAAACATAGCATGAGCACGTAGCTGTAGACCTGAAAGGCTTACATGACCCTCTCGAAGTACTTCATCCACAGTAGGTCTCTGTTAAGAAAGCAAGCTGGGCAGGGATTAGTGCTATATAGCTAGTAAACTGCTAATGCTTTTGTCAGCTATATATTATTGTCATTATGTCATTTAATGTGCAAAGCAATATACAAGCTGTTTATAATTCCAGTTTTCTTTACCCATAAATCAACTTGACAAAATGATAAAGTCCTATAATTGATATGAAACTATGGTTATATACATAAAAATGTAACTTAGGGAACTACCCTTGGGTATATATGTATAAGGCAAACAATAAGCAGGTAAATAAGTTGAGTTCAATGGTGTCATTCCACAGTCATATTGCTTATGTTATCACAATACACAAACTAATCTATTCTTGATAGTTGAGAGATTTTCTACACAACGATGACTTGATTGCAAGGGAACATTGGGAGAAAAATAATTCAAATTGGAATAATTGTAATTGACTCACAGTGTTAAATGGAGCACTTTAGACTAGAGCATGATAAAAAGGTAATTACTTATGATAATTTTTCCTGGTTATTTAACTAGCTTGGAAAATATTTTAAGTAATATTACCTGATAGCTGTCATTCAAGAATATATTTAATGGTGATAATACAAGTTGCAACATAGTTTCCTTATATCCCTTCTTCATCTCAAAACATAATCTTTCCAGAAAACCAGTAGGACATTCTGGACCATCACTGCTGCAATGCTAAATACAGAATATTAAAATTAGAAATAACCATTTAATTAAATGTCAATAGTTCTCAAATTGTTAAATTATGAAAACATGCAAAATATTCTTAAATAGGAAAAAGTCACACTAGAAGATAATAATTTTTTCAAAAAGTAACATCACTTAGTGGATAATTCTTCTGAAACTATTCAAAGTTAAGAATCATTCCTTATTTTATATTGTATTGCTAAGTTGCCCATGAAAAATTCTCTTGAACTGTTCTTGCCCAGGGAAACAACCATTCTGAGACTGGAGAAGAAACCGGGAACGATCATTTCTATGTATTACCTTCAAGAATTAAATGAGTTACTATTACTTGCCCTAGTTCCTGCCCATCTAGCCGTTTGAAACCATGCAAATGCAAGTAGATAAATAGGTACCACTTCGGTGGAAAGGTAACAGCATTCCATGCATCTTGGTGTATAATCATGCTCGCCACATGACCATGGAAATGTCTTCAGACAATTCTGGCTCCCTCTGCTAAGAAACAGAGATGAGCACTACCCCCTAGAGATGGTCACGACTGTACAGGGGAAACTTTACCTTTATATCTTCTATACAAAAAGCATACTGAGAGAAATAAAAACATTATCAGTATGTTTAAGTATGAAAAGCTCAGTCTATTTCCTTTTACAGGTAGTCCCTGTTAACAGCAGTAATTGGGATCAGAATCTCCATTGCTAAGCAAATAGGTCATAAAGCCCTCCTGTCCCAGCTGACTTTATCTTCTTCCAGCTGCTAAGGCATTCTCAGCCTGGCCCTTCACAAGGCAGCTACTGATCATGCCAGGCCTTCTTCTCTTTCAAACCCTTGTGAGAAAGCCACAGGTGATTTGGGCAAGGACACACACAGGATCAGAAAGAAGGCCTGGCATAGACAGCAGCTGCCTCATGAAGGGCCAGACTGGGAAGCATCTGGTCAGCAGCGGAAGGAAAAAGATGGCAATGCTTATCTGGGGTGGCAGGATCAGTGGAAACCAGGGTGGCAGGATCAGCAGATGTGACAGAGTGGAGGGTAGCCAAAAGGCAGAGATGTGAGTCAGATAGACAAATTGGGGAAATGGAAGTGCCTCTGTGATGGTATGTGAAAGCAGGCTTCCAAACACCCACATTTTGATTATGTGATCATGGGAGCACTATTTGTAATGTGATTTTAAGGATCATCATTTAAGCCATTGTCTATCCACTGCAGGATGAAGGCCTCTTCTGCATGTTTTTGTGGCGAAGGTTGTTGAGAGTGTGGTTGCACGGCAGTTTCCCCGGCACCTGGAGGAAACGGTCTATCTGGACCCTCTCCAGTCGGGCTTCAGGCCGGGGTACAGCACGGAAACGGCATTGGTCACGTTGGTAAATGATCTCTGGAGGGCCCGGGACAGGGGTTGTTCCTCTGTCCTTGTTCTTTTGGACCTCTCA